CTCGTTTCCTTGTCTCGGGTCTCCCCCGGTCCCTCCCTTCTCTTCCTCCGGGGCCTGGCCCCACCTGCGTTCCCTGCGTCGAGGGGCGGCAGCGCGCCGCTCCTCACTCCTCCGAGTTTCCTCCGACAGAGGCTCCGCTGCAGACGCTTCACATGGACGTGTGGGGCCCAGCCCGCGTCCGTGGACAGGGTCACGAGCGTTACTTCCTGCTGGTGGTTGACGACTACTCGAGTTACACCGCAGTCTTCCCCTTGCGCAGCAAGGGTGAGGTCACTGAGGTGTTGATCGACTGGATCCGCGCAGGTCGTCTCCAGCTCAGAGAGAGTTTCGGCTCGGACTTTCCTGTTCTGCGTCTGCACTCCGACAGAGGCGGTGAGTTTTCCTCTGCCCTTCTGCGAGCCTTCTGTCGTGCACAGGGCATCCGCCAGACGTTCACGCTTCCGGCCTCTCCACAGCAAAATGAGATTGCTGAGCGCCGCATTGGTATGGTCATGGACATCGCTCGTACGTCCATGATCCATGCGGCTGTTCCCCATTTTCTGTGGCCGTTCGCGGTTCAGTACGCGGCGCATCAGATCAACCTTCAGCCCCGTTTCTCCTTGTCGGAGACCTCCCCTACTCTGAGGTGGACGGGGAAGGTTGGCGATGCGTCTGCGTTTCGTGTCTGGGGATCTCGAGCTTTTGTCCGCGACTTGTCTGCGGACAAGCTGTCCCCCCGTGCTGTTCCCTGCGTCTTCCTTGGCTCCCCCCCTGACGCGCCTGGCTGGCAGTTTTACCACCCCACCTCGCGCCGTGTTCTGTCTTCCCAGGACGTCACCTTTGACGAGTCGGTCCCCTTCTACCGTCTCTTCCACTACCGCACTGCCCCGCTCCCCCCTCCGCCGCTCTTCCTCACGCCAGGTGCTGCCTTGGTAGACCCCTTGCCTCCCCAGGTTCCTGCTCCCTCAGGTGTTTCCCAGGTAGACCCGGTCGAGCCTGTCGAGGTAGCTGTCGACTCTGGTCCTGCGCGAGGTACTGAGCGTGCTGAGCCTGGTGGTGCTGGGTCTGGAGGTACTGCCCCTGGGGGTGCTGAGCCTGGGGGTGCAGAGACTGCGGGTGCTGAGCCTGGGGGTGCTGTCTCTGGGGGTGCTGGGTCTGGAGGTCCTGAGCCTGGGGGTGCTGCGCCAAGGGGAGCTCTCTCTTCCCAGCAGCTACGTGAGTGGTACTCTCGGTACTGTCGCAGCCTCCGGTGTGCTGCTGGAGCTGTTGGCGCTGGTCCTGCTGGATGTGCTACTGGTGCTGCTGGGGGTACTGGAGCTGCTGGGCCTGGAGGTGCTCCTGGTGCTGGAGCTGCTGGCGGTGCTGGAGTTGGCGCTGCTGGAGCTGGAGGTGCTGCTGGTGTTGGAGCTGGCGGTGCTGCTGGCGCTGGTGCTTCTGAGGGTGCTCGAGTTGGCGCTGCTGGAGCAGGAGGTGCTGCCGGTGTTGGAGCTGGCGGTGCTGCTGGCGCTGGTGCTTCTGAGGGTGCTGGAGTTGGCGCTGCTGGAGCTGGAGGTGCTGCTGGTGTTGGAGCTGGCGGTGCTGCTGGCGCTGGTGCTTCTGAGGGTGCTGGAGTTGGCGCTGCTGGAGCCGGAGGTGCTGCTAGCGCTGGTGCTGCCGCTGGGGGTACTGGTGCTGTCCCTGCTGTTTCCGGAGGCGCTACGCGGCCGCGGCCGTACTTCGTTCTGCTCCTTGAGTAGGTTCTTGGTCTCCCGCCTTCTACTGGTCCTCCTCCTCCCTTAGAGTGTCCACAGCCTGTCCCGTCACAGTCACAGTTACAGCTTGCCTCCCCACTGCCTGCTCCTTCTCCCTACACTGGTCCTACTGGAGGTCTTGCTGAGCGTCGTGCGCCTGCGTCTCGTCCTGCGTCGCCTGTTCGTGCTGCTCGCACTAGTCGTCGTGTTCCGCGTCAGCGTCCTCCTGCGGTCCCGGGCACGCACCAGATGGCACTGCGTCCTTCCACTGCTCCGCAGCGTGTCCCTTTGCCGTCTCCTCCTGAGTCCTCTCTTCCTGCTCTTGCTGACCCGGAGTCGGACTCTCTTTGTGCTGCCAGTCCTACTGTCACGCGTCTCCTGGCTACTGTTGTCACTGACCCTTCCTTTGAGTCCACTGCTGCGTCTGCCTTAGTTGCTGAGTTGGTCGACTTCGCTGCTCACTGTCGTCTAGACTATGCTGCTAGTCTTTAGGGTGAAGCGGCCGCCGTGTTCTCCCCCTGTCTTCAAGGCGCGTTACGTGGCTCGAGGCTTCAGTCAGCGGCAGGGAGTTGACTACTTTCAGACCTTCTCTCCCACCCCGAAGATGACCACTCTTCGGGTGCTGCTGCACATATCCGCTCAGCGCGACTACGAGCTTCACTCTCTTGACTTCAGCACAGCTTTCTTGCAGGGCAGCCTGCACGAGGAGATCTGGCTGCGCCGCCCACCTGGCTTTACTGGGTCGTTTCCTCCTGGTACCCAGTGGAGCCTCCGGCGGCCAGTCTACGGTCTCCGCCAGGCGCCGCGTGAGTGGCACGACACACTAAGGACTACACTTGCGGCTCTTGGGTTTGCTCCTTCTACTGCTGACCCGTCGCTGTTTCTGCGCACCGACACCTCTCTGCCGCCGTTCTACATCCTCGTGTACGTCGACGACTTGGTCTTTGCCACTGCTGACACTGCTGGACTCGCCCACGTGAAGTCCGAGTTGCAGAAGAGACACACGTGCACAGACCTGGGTGAACTGCGCAGCTACCTTGGCTTGCAGATCACCCGGGACAGAGCACAGCGCACCATTACCCTGACTCAGTCACACATGGTGCAGCAGGTCCTTCAGCGCTTCGACTTCACGTACTCCTCGCCTCAGGCCACTCCTCTGTCTACTCGCCACTCGCTCTCAGCTCTGCCTTCGGATGAGTCCGTAGAGCCGAGTGGCCCGTACCCAGAGCTTGTTGGCTGCCTAATGTACCTGATGACCTGCACTCTACCTGACCTTGCATACCCTCTTAGCATCTTGGCACGCTATGTTGCTCCTGGGAGACACCGACCAGAGCACATGGCTGCAGCGAAGAGGGTGTTGCGCTACTTGTGCAGTACGTCGGGCATGGGGCTAGTGCTTGGAGGGCGGCGTTCAGTGGTCCTCACAGGTCACGCAGACGCTTCTTGGGCTGACGACCAGGCTACGCAGCGGTCGTCACAGGGTTACACCTTCAGCCTTGGTTCCGGCTCTGTTTCGTGGCGGTCTACGCGCTCGTCTTCTGTTCTCGGCTCCAGCTGTGAGGCTGAGATCTACGCGGGGGCCATGGCTGCACAGGAGCTACGCTGGCTCACCTACTTCCTGACTGACCTAGGAGAGCCGCCTCGTTCTCCTCCAGTTCTGTACGTAGACAACAAGGCCATGCTGGCCTTGTGTCGGGAGCACAGACTGGAGCACAGAACGAAGCACATTGCTCTTCGCTACTTCCTTGCTCGTGAGCTGCAGCAGCGTGGTCAGCTGCGCCTTGCTTACGTGGCCTCTGAGGCCAACACTGCAGATATCTTTACCAAGGCACTTCCTTCTTGTGATCATCAGCGCTGCTGTACGATGCTAGGTCTTGTGCCTACTTGGCCTCACTTGCTCACTTCTTGACCTTGCTTGTACTGTGATCTTTCTATACCTGCACTTGCTTGTTTACCTTTATATATGATCTTGCATGTGAACTGGCCTTGTGGCCTTGAACTTGTGCTCGGAATGTGTGGTGACGTTGTGATCCACCCTGAGCTTGCTTTGCCTTGCTTTGCTTGACTGGTCTTGTGACCCCTTGTTCTCCCCCACTTTGCCTATGGGGGTGTGTCAGACTTATATGATCTAGCCTGTGTAGGCTGTAGCGGGTTAGATTCTAAGGGGTACACAATTCTGGGGTTTCATATTTGTATCACACTCATTCCTTAGTCAATCATTCCTTGTTCTTTCACATGTCATTGCACTGTAAGCATGTCATTGCACTGTAAGCATGCCATTGCATTGTAATCATGTCATTGCACTGTAAGCATGTCATTGCACTGTAAGCATGTCATTGCACTGTAAGCATGTCATTGCACTGTAAGCATGTCATGGCATGCACTGTAAGCATGTCATTGCACTGTAAGCATGTCATTGCACTGTAAGCGTGCCATTGCACTGTAAGCGTGCCATTGCACTGTACACCCTTGTCCCCTTGCCTCTTTCTCCATTCCCTTCACATCTGTGAAACCGGTGCTGGAGTCGACCTCAATCCTCGCCCTGCTCATTCCATCGTCCTCCTCCTCCCCACACCATTCCACAGCTTCATTAAAGACTGCACCCTCACTGGCCCGCTCTTCAATGCTCTCCTCGCATTGTTCCATCTCAAGGATTTGTGAGACTCCTGCTATCTCACTCTCGCTTCCCCACTGGCCTTCAAGCATTCCATCCCCACATCCTTCCACTCGCTTGCCATTGCTTGTAGTGAATCGCCCTTGTTTGTGCTGACTTATCCCCGCTTCGACGAGCTTGCTGTTGCTTGTCTTTGCGTGAATGTCAACTTCTTGCATTTTTCATTTACTGAATGGATACTGCTTGCCCTGTCGTCAACTTCTTTTATTCTCGTATCTTGTCTCTCCCACGACGATCCTCTTTTGTGTCTCTCCTCCTGTTTCCATCCGTTTAACTACAGTGCTACCCCTGCCTCTATGTCTATCCCTTTTCTTTTACCCCTGTTTACTCCACCATCTACCATCCACCATCTTGCAGTGATTTGGAATATTGCAATCAACTCCCTCCGCCCCCTGATATCATAGCGGAGTCTCTTTCTCCCAGGGACCTGTCAGTTCTACTTATTCTCTCATGCACCTCTTTCTTCTCTCGTGCACCTCCCTCAGTCACGGGCCATCACAGCACCATGGTCTGCCTGTTTCCATCCGCCACCCTATTTTTTCTCCTGCATGTGCACGCCCAACTGCTTACATAAGCCTTGGAGCACGGTGATTCTTACAGTGTCACTCCATCTCACCATGCATCATCTTCACTTGCACCCCCACACCTCATCCACCCCTTCGCACGTTATTCGGCTCCTCACACCCCATGTGCCCTCCCTGCCATGTGCCCTCTCACATCCCATGTGCCCTCTCACACCCCATGTGCCCTCTCACACCCCATCTGCCCTCTCACACCCCATGTGCCCTCTCACACCCCATGTGCCCTCTCACTCCCCATGTGCCCTCTCACACCCCATGTGCCCTCTCACACCCCATGTGCCCTCTCACACCCCATGTGCCCTCTCACACCCCGTTGCCATGATCTCTGTGCTCCCTCCTGCACTGCCAGATGCTCTCCACTCCATTCTCTCCTGCCACTCGTTTCTTTCCATCAGCCCCTCGTCTACAGCCTCTGGACAACCGTCCTCTCTCCTCTGCAGCACCCTCTGATGTTGCTGCTTCCTCCACATGCATGGTGCATGCATGGTGAATGGAGGCGCATGCATCGTGCATCCATGGTGCATGCATGTTGCATGGATGGTGCCTGGATGGATGGTGCATGCATGGTGCATGGATTGCACATGCATGGTGTATGGATGGTGCAGGGATTACATTAGCAAATATCTCTTTGACTCACCATCACTACCAGAGCAGCTCTCCCAGCTGCAGAAGCTGCAGTCTCTGTAAGGCTGGGTGAGGGGCATGTGATGGCATGTGATGGCATGGGATGGCATGGGATGGCATGGGATAGCATGGGATGGCTTGGGATGGCAACCTATATGGATGTGACAAGCCTAAAGAGCATGCGAGGTACTGTGCACGACACTTCGGCATAAACGAGAGAAGTCACATGCTTCTTCCTTTTTCCATGTTCCCACCTCTTGCCTCGTATTTCATTTCAATCCTATGCCATCTCATGCCATCCCATCCCATCTCATGTCATGCCTCCCATCCCATCCCATGCCATCCCGTGCCACCACATGGCAGGCGGCTCCACTACAACAGCCTGAGTGGCACCATTCCCGCCTCCATTGCCCACCTCACCGCACTCACCAACCTGTGCGCCCATTCTCCCTCCACCCCTCTCGCTCATTCTCCCTCCACCTGCCTCTCTCCAATTCTCCCTTCACCCACCTCTCTCCCACTCTCTCTCAATCACTCACTCTCCCATTCTCCCTCCACCACTCACTCTCCCATTCTCCCTCCACCACTCACTCTCCCGTTCTCCCTTCACCCGCATCTCTCACCATTCTCCCTTCACCACTCCCTCTCCTATTCTCCCTTCACTCGCCTCTCTCCCAAACATGATTGTTCAGTCAGTCGGGAAGTAATGATACATCATGCAACAGTGCCATGTTACACCATATTCCTCTCCACTCCTTTTGTTCCATCCTCCACTTCAGTCATCCACCTTACGTTCACTCCCGCTCTTAACCATGACTTCCGTTCCTGCTTACCACCTCCCTGCTTTCAATGCCTCTCCTTACCCTCTCCGCCCAACCCCCTCCCTCCCCATGCTCCAGGATACTCAGCAAGAACAGTCTTTCAGGCTCCATTCCAGAGGCAATTACCAGCCTCACGCAGTTACAGGAGTTGTGAGGGGTGATGGGGAGTTGCACCTCAAGTTGTAGCTTGTGCAATCCTATCCCATCCCATCCCATCTCATCACATCCCTTCCCTTCCCATCCCATCCCATCCCATACCGTCCCGTCCCGTCCCGTCCCGTCCCGTCCCGTCCCGTCCCGTCCCATCCCATCCCATACCGTCCCGTCCCGTCCCGTCCCGTCCCGCCCTGTCCCGTCCCATCCCATCCCGCCCCGCCCCGTCCCGTCCCGTCCCGTCCCATCCCATCCCATCCAATCCCATCCCATCCCATCCCATCCCATCCCATCCCATCCCATCCCATCCCATGCCATGGCAGGGACCTGCACAGCAACAAGCTGAGTGGCACCATTCCCGCCGCCATTGGCAACCTCACTGGACTCAACGCCCTGTGCGCTCATTCTCCCTCCACCCCCCCCATGTCCATGCCTTCTTTATACCTGCCTCTCTGTGCCAAGCATTGCGGGTTTGAGATGGTGGGTAGGGTGAGGACAGGAATAGAAGTAGAGGGAGGGAGGGGAGATGAAGGCAATGAATAGGAGAGTCCGGAGGCACCTTTTGTTGACAGCAATGTTGTCCGCTGCTGTGGGTGTGTTTGTCTCAAGCAACATGCCCTTAAGCAACTGCCTTTAAGCAACAGCACTCGCACTCTTCCACGGGCACCAAATCTGGCTTCTTATCCTTTTTGCGTCCCTTCTCTCGACCTCTCCTCTCCTCTTCTCCTCCCCTATTTCCACTCTTCTCCTCTTCTCCTCTCCTCTTCTTCTCCCTATCCTCCTCTTCTCTCCCTTCATCCTTTTCTCTCCTCCTCTCGTTCTCTCCTATACTACTCTCCTCCTCTCCTCTTCTCCTCCTTTCCGCCTCTTCTCTTCTTTCCCTCTTCTCGTCTTTTCCCTTCCCCCCTTCTTTTCCCCTCTTCTTCTCTTCCCCATCCTCTCCTCCCCTGTTCCCCTCTTCTCCTCTTCTTCCCTTCTCCTTTTCTCTTCGTTTCCTTCCCCCCTTTGTTTCTCCTTCCCTCCATGTCCATTCATCCACTTGTTTTCAGGAAACTGAGTGACAATCGCCTTGCAGGGACGATACCTGGTGCAATTGCCACGCTCATTAATCTCAAACACCTGTCAGTGTTACCTCCTCGGATTGCCCCACACTCAAGTGCCGTCATTGAATGGTGGTGTGTGTGAGTAATCTTAACAAACAGCCTGACTGAGTCTACTCCAGCAAGGCATGTTTGGGTGCAATCACTCCAACAACCATCCCCAATCACTGCAATCAGCGCTGCCCAACTCTTCTTCTCTGCGAAACGCCACCCCCACTGCTCACAACAACTCGCTTTCTGCCACCCACACGTCACTTCCTTTCTTATTGCAAAACCCAGCATCGTCAACGGTATCAAGTTATCAACCTCGACAGTTTTTGCTTTTCAATGAAAGCCATCCAGTCGTTTCCTCCCATCACAACACGTACTCTCCCCTCCCGCGTCTCCCATCATTCGTGAAGACCCAACGAATCATACGAGAAATTAAAGGCTAAGCACGTCAGCTGAGAGCCCACAAATAGCTGGCATACAAAACTTGGATTCGACTCTCAACACACACACATGCTACTGTCTCATCAATCCCTCGTTCCTGTCACTCCCATTCCCAACCACTCTACCTTCCCACCTCTCTTCCTCTCCCTCCGTCCCTTGGCATCACAGCCACCTTGACAACAACCAGCTGGCGGGAGAGCTGCCCTCCTTCCACCACATGGCTCGTCTCACCTCCTTAGAAGCGCACCACAACTACCTCACAGCCACAGCAGACCAACTCCTCCCCAACGCTCATAGCCTAGACGACCCTTTCAGATACCACAGCTTGTGTCTGTTCCACCACAATTGCCTTGGAGACAACTCGAAGTTCTGCAACCGTGAGCAGGCTCAGAGGCGTGCCAGCGAGTGCCGGGCGTTCTGTGGGACGCAGCCGCTCACCCCGCCGTGCAGCGGCCATGGCGTGTGCTCCTACTTCGTGCCTCACCCCCCTCACAACAAGTTTTCCTGCTGTGGTGATGAGGATCAGATTCCGCCACCCAACTATCAACCCAAGGGCCAGTGCGACAGTGATGAGGGGTACACGCCAGGGACTGATGCTGGCACGTGCGTCCCTCACGGTATGCCATGCCTGTTGATGAGTGCTTTCGCTCGCTGATGCCTGCTTTCTTCTTCTCTTCCTTTTCCACCATAAGCTCGTCCCAGCTGCATCTTGTCTTCCAAAGCCTGCTTGTCGACATGCCTGCTTGCCATCCCAAGGGCTCACGAGCTTGACTCGTTCCACCCTGCCTGAGGAACGGAGCTATTGGGCCGAGGGAGAGTGGCAGGGCCACCACTCCCAGCCAAGTGAACCCGCGCATTCTCGCTTGGACGCCTGACTTGTTTCATTCCACTGCCCATTCCACACTGAGTCAGCATCTTGTGTGCCTGTCATTCTGTGCACCCTGCTCCTCGTTCACATTCTTCCATACCCACTGAGCACACCAGTCAACCCCCTGTGCCAATGCATGTGCGCCTGCTCCACCAATACCCTTCTTCTCTCCACACTTCACCTCCTCCCACTCACTCTCCTTATCCACACTGCCAGCACCAATCTTGTCCCCTGCTCTTTCCACAACCCACCTTGTGAACCACCAGAAACTTCAGCCATGGGAGTGGCTCTGTCTCTTCTCCAGGAGCCTCAGAATCGGTTGCTGCTGGTGGTGGTGCTTCCTCTGGTTGTGCTCCAGCTGGCCTTCGCATTGCCATTGATTCTGAGGCGCATCAAGCACAGCCGCCCCACAAGCTACTTGTAATCAAAGAGAGCCCTTGCTGCCCAGCAAGCTGCCATGGGTGCGGATGTCAGCTGTTACTACAGGCAGGATTGCCAAGGGTTGACGGCCATGCAGGAATACCGGTAGTTTGTATATTTTTGGCAAATTACTTCCACACATAAATGTTTACTTGCTGAGATACGGTATTCCATTCCTTGTTTATTTACCTTTCTTTCCGAAACCAGCTACGGTATTTTACACTTGTAGAATCTGTTGTTTTATTTGAGGTGTACAACATTGTGATTCTCAGGGCATTATAAATTCATTACTCAGAAGCTTACTGTAATTACGGTAGCACCACTGTTGGAATATCCGAAAGGTTGTTACACAATCCCCGCAGGTTTTGCTGTAACGCTACAGTTTAGGTTCCCTATTCTGAGGATCTAGGATCGAGCCAGGGCTCAGGTTTGGTTTTTGCCTACTCCCGATTGGCAGTGTAGCGTTTTCAAAAACCCTTGCGAGCAGTGTAGGTATTTTCATTACACTGATAGAGCAGTGTAACATCAATTCTGGAAAATTTTACACTAGGTCATTACACTGACCAATCAGACGCGTGACTAGGTCATCAGGGAATTTTTCAAAACTGACCAATCAGACGCGTGACTGCTGCCAACGCAAGTCCTGAACGGAAGGTAACCTCGGTACTTGCGTGATGGACGGAAATCACGCTCTGACAAATTTCGTAGATTTGGGGGGGAGGGGGGGGGGGGGGGGGGGGGGGGGGTAACTGTACACCCTTCAGTGTAAACTGCGATAACTATAAAATTACCCACAGCATCAGTGTGGCCTACAACGATACACTTACAGAGCAGTGTAACATTGGTTCATTGAAAATTTACCCCAGCGACTCAGTGTACACATAAAAATTCACCCTTCTCAGCAGTGCAGAAGGGTAAATTACACTGCAAACATGAGCCCTGGATCGAGCTCAGAAAAGTGGGTTTGAATTGAATGCTCCACCTGGGTACAACACGAAGCTATACATAGTCTCGACATAAGGCAAGTTACCCAGGTGTTACACGAATGTTCTGAGGGTCGCGAAGCGTCCCGAACAGAACCTTCAGAACTCGGTAAGAAACAATTCGGTGGCAACCGAAAAGCCTTGAGTATGGTACACGTAACCTGGTTCGGTGCTATAACTATACTAGAATATAGGAATGCACTTAACCTAGGAAATCAAGCATATCTCTGCATGATACATAAAACCGAAGCTAGTAATAGCATAATATAGTCAAGGCAAGCTAGCAAAGCCAGCATAAGCCGTCGTACTCTCACACCTATAACCAAGACACCTGTTTATAGAAAATTGTAACCAGTTGTGTTTTCAATCTAACTCTGTCGTCTACCACGGGGCTGTTTAGTAGGCACTCAAGTTGGAGTGCAGAAGTAGCATTAAATTGTGGAGTGGGAGAACGGTAAGGGGGAGGGACACGGTAGGGGGGCTGGAGGGACCTTTAAGTCGTGTGAGAGAGAGTGCCTTTCATTGCACCCGTAGGCACTCACTCGCGTGTTGCTCTTCCTCATGGATGCCCTCAAGGTGGGGGAAAGGGGCAGGGAAAATGGAAGAGATGGGGAGGAGAAGGGTTGGAGAGGTGCCTCTAAAACAAGTAAAGGCGAGCGCGGGTTATTTCACACCCACTGGCGCTCACTTGCCTCTCCTTAAGGCGCCTCAAAAACAGGCTCACTCACTCTTCTGCATGGACGCCCTGAAGCGGGGCAAGGAAAACTGGAGAGGCAGAGGGACGAGGTAGAGGGGGTGTGGAGGGTGCGTTTGATTGCATATAAGAAAGAGCCCCACTCATTGTGCACTTCAGCTGCTCGTGTTCATGAGGGGGGACAGAGAATAGGGGGGGTGTGGCATACGTGACCTCGTTTCATGTGACTGCGCTTCATGTTCGCGCTTCATGTGACCGCGTTTCATGTCACCACATTTCATCTGACCGCGTTCCACGTGACCCAAGTACATGCGACCCCACTACATGCGACCCCAGTACATGCGACAGTGTCTCTCTCCAGGCAACCACCCATCAGGTGGGTCTCGGTCCTCATCCTGCATCATCCTCTTCCATCCGACCCTATGCACCACAAGGAGCAAGGCCAGCGGCCTCGCCCCATGGTGGTTGTGGCATCATTGCAAAAGAAAGGGAACAATGGGAAGCGGTCTTAATTTTACTGTCAAATTGCATTTGTTATCTCTAGGCTGCAGTAAGGCATACTCTAAGGAGTACAACACTTTAGGGTTAGGTAATACTTGCACTCATCTTTGCTACCTAGTCCACCACTCCTACGTTCTATTTTGACATGGTATCAGAGCGGGTCCATCCTTCGTAGGACCGCTCCATTAGGGCCCACCGCTAGTTTAGACCTGCCCAAACTGCCCGAACTGCCCGTACTGCCCTGCCTGTACGGCCCTGCCTGAAGTGCCCGTACTGTCCTGCCCTGCCTGCGCTGCCCCACGCGCTCTGCCCTACCCATTGCACTGCCCGCTTGCTACCTAGCACACGACCCGCACGCTGCCCTGCTCGCGCTGCCTCCACGCGCATTGCCTGGGCCTATGCGCGCCCTGCCCGCACGTTGCAAGCGCTGTCCGCACGCTGCCTGCTACTGCCTCCGCACTGCATTTCCTGCCCGCGCGCTGCCTGCCTCGCTCGCGCACTGCCTGCGTGCTGCCTGCACCACCGGCGCCCTGCCCGCGCACTGCGCGCCCTGCCCGTGCACTACCCGCACGCCGCTGGCGCCGCCCGCGCCCTACCCTTACGGCCCGCCCTGCTTGCGCTCTGCTCGCATAGCCCGCGCGCGACCCTAAGCGCGCTGTCTGCACGCGCCCTGCACACAATGCAGCAGCTGCTGCTGCTGCTGCCAGCGCCGCACTGCCCCGCCGTGCCCGAGCCGCGGCTCGCCAGCCGCGCCGCGCTGCCTAGATGCCCGGCCGACCTGCCTTTGCTGCCGCACTACTGCTACTACTGCTAATACTGCTGCTACTGCTATTGCTGCTGCTCCTGCTACTGCTGGTGCTATTGCTGTTGGCTACTCTTTCTGTCCTTACCTTTGGCGCGGAGGGTCGCCCGATTAGGTTTGATGTTGGCTCGAGGATCTCCAGGTGTACCTGCAGAGCATGGCTAGGGAGGACGTTTCACTGTTAGAGCACACGTCCAGTACTTGCCTTGCCCCCGAGGATTCATCTAAGCGTGCTCTTCGTACTCAGTGGCTCACCAGCGATGCTGCCACCCGCCTTTCTGTCCGCAATGCCCTCCCGCCTGTCCATTTCGACCAGCTTAAAACGGCGAAGGAACTCTATGACGCCGTAGTTGCTCGTTACTCCTCCCCCTCTACTGCTGCCCTAGGTCGTGTCATGCTGCTATACCTCCATCCTGAGCTGTCTGATTTCCACACCGTCGCTGACCTCGTGACCCACCTTCGCTCTAGTGACGCTCACTACCTTGCCGCTCTCAATCCGGCCTTTTTGGCTGCGAACCCACCTCCGATGTACATCACACTCTACTACCTGGTTACTCGCTTCCCTGACTCCCTCCGCGCTGTTAGGGATCCCTTCCTTGCTCTTGACCCCACCGAGATCACCCTTGCCTTGCTGGAGAAGGATCTCCTCAAGGCTGAGACCAGTTCCGTTGCTGTAGCTGCCTCTCATGGCACTCCCCGCTCCCCCTTCTTTGAGGGGTGTTCTCCCTCCCTTCTCGCGCCCTCCGTTGGTGCTGCTACTGCTGTTGACTTCCTTCATACTGAGGAGGTCGGTGCTGCGTCTTCTCCTAGTGGGAGGCGCCGCAACGGCAAGGGCAAGGGGGGTAAGGGTGGTGGGGGGGGCACTGGAGGGGTTGGTGGCGGGGGTGGTGGCGGTGGTGGTGGTCGGGGTGGAGGCGGTGGTGGAGCGGGGTTGGAGGCAGTGGTGGCGGCAGTGGAGGTGGCCGGGGTGTGGAGGCGGTGGAGTGGGCGGAGAGGGCTCGGGTGGTGGTCGGGGTGGAGCTGGCAGGGGCGGAGGCTATGGGGCGGCGACTAGGGGTGCAGCTCGTGGCGGCGACTAGGGGTGCAGCTCGTGGCGGCGGAGGCACTGGGGGTGGTCAGCAGCAGCAGCAACGCCAACAGGAGCCACGCACCCCTCAGGAGCTTTGTGAGTGGGTGGTCCAGCATGGCTCTACTGGGGCTAATGTTCGTTGCCCGTACATCAGGCGCAAGGGTCTCAAGATTGGTGAGGCTCTCCTCTGGCACCACCGTCTTGGTCAACCCTCCCTGCCGTGCCTGTGTGGCATGTACTCGCGTCTCCTTGTCTCTAGCCTCCCCAGGTCCCTGCCCCCACTCTCGCGCTCGCTTGCACCACCGTGCCTTCCCTGCG